TCGCACTGTCGATTGGTGCAGTTGTTTATCAGGTGGTGTCGTGTTTATTGATTGGCGGCAACTGTTGTCTGTCTGCTGTTTTGACGAGGCGATGTCTGGTGGAATAAGTGCTCTGTATGTATGTATGTACGTAGTTTATCTATCTATGTTGTTTAGACGAGGCGACGTTTGGGGGACGAGAAAGAGACATACGACACCATTGTCTTCTTTCTACGGTGTGTTTATCTTTAGCGGTTTGTTTTTCTTTCAGCAGTTTGATTGTCTCAAATCGTTGTGTTTGCTTGGTTCACTTTATGTCTGCGCATTACTTCATGTAGTGCTTCACGCAAAGGAGGCGCTCATTTTTTTATGGACTACATATTTATTGTCAACATGTTGGATTTTTGGTGGTGCTTTTGTCATGGGTCTCCGTTGTAGCACGCCACGAGTAGCATAGGTGTGGTGGTTAAGGACTGGAGTCGAGAAGAGGACGGACTAAACGAGGGGTGGGGACGACAATATATCACGACGTGCGTGCATGAAGTAAAGCGAGAAGTTGCGTTGGAAGGCGATCTAGATTGACAAGCAGCATCAGCATGTTCGGTTTTTTCGCGGTGCACCGTCCTTGCCGGCGGTTTGATGCATGGGGTGCACCGTCTTGTTCCTACTACATAGTAAGGGTCTCAAGTCATGTTCAAGTTTTCTTGTGTTCTGAGGAAGAATTGGAGAAAGGTCAAATTCAAACGTTGTGCGAAACCTGTTCAAGTCTTACGCACGATACGTGTTGGTGCATCAGGAACGACTGTAGTACCCCCCTATTTTTCACGGCGAAAAGGGAAGTCCGAATGCCGTTGTGGTGGGGGCGAAGCGGGAGAGGCTCATCACCATCTATTTCGGGCGGATGGATCTGCTACGTAGCCCCTACGCCTTTCCATGGTCGTACGCTTCAGGGCGTTCCAGCCGCGGGCGCCAAACAGACAAGATTTCTCCCGCAGCGAATTTCTTTGATCTCCTCGAGGTAGCGGCTCGAGGTAACGAGAGAGACGGACCCGTCTCGCCGTTAGTCTAAGGGTCAACACGAAAACCGAAGGGAAACAAACACCGATTGATCTGTCCACCGTGCTGGGCGAAAAACAATCACAACTTGTCGGAATGTACATTTATTGTAGAGTCCGGGAGTCTTGCGGGGCGCGGGGGTGGAGTCAAATCATCGCTGATTGGTCGCCAAACGGCTCTGATTGGCTGCCCGCCGACTCCTCCAGACGTGCCGAACATACACGCGTTCTGACGATATTTACCGCTTTCTACCGAAGCGGCGGGTTTTTGCCAAAACAAAGGCAGAGTATTTTCCAGAGATATCATGACGTTGATTTCTACTTCCCCCCATCGGGCAACGGAGAGCTACAAACAGTCAGCTTCATGTACGACAGATCACAACCATGCTTCGGTAGGGTGTGGTTGAACGGGTTAGTTAGCTAAATGAACACCGTGCTCTGTCCGTGTCGTGACAAATTCCTCGTACAGCCCGGGTTCCTCGCCATTAATTTGATGGTTTTTCACTCGTCGCCAAGGGCATAACGCATAATAGTGCCGCGCGGTTGTCCCCCCCCACTCCCCACTGCCGCACGGGCACACCCACGAACCCCCCAAAATACTGGATTGTACAATTTTCTCTTGTCACCAACCCCCACGACGGCACCCCCCGTTCATCTGAACAAACGAAATACCATTTTTCTCAAGACTATACGCATCTCCTCCATGCACGACACTCTTTTGTGCTAAACTACTGCTGCTGCTGCTGCTGTGCCTCACAATTTTGTACAGTACACCACGCGCTGTCGACATTCTTTTGCCCGTACTGCCGTTTTTGCATCAGCGCATCTGCAAGGTGCCAGGCACCAGACACGAATAGCGCGTGCCAACATCACTGCTCCCGCCGCTGCTGCCGCCGGAATATAACTCGCTCACGCCGTCGAACACATCGTACCAGAATTTACTACTACAACCCGAAACTTCCAGGAAAAAATCCAACCGTCGCAGGCGACAATGTGTCATGCTACCTGTAATGCCAGACGCCGGCTGCGTCACACAAGTCACGAGAAAGCCGCCACGGACAAAAAAACTCATGAGGAAAGGAAAGACAAATTCCTAAGCTGCACCAAAAATCCGGGTAGTACGCCGGAAACGCACACACCGACGTGTAACGCGCAAGGCCTCTTTCCTCCTCCGTCGATGAGAAGACGGAAACGTACACAAAGACACTGAAGATTGGGGAGGACGGCGATGAGCAACCAACACGCACTATTATGCATACCATGACCATAGAGCACCTCTCTGCCAAGAATGACATGCACGGACACCGAGAAGGGGCGGAAAAGTCTTTTCCGAACGTTTTCTTTGCGTTCGGGCGGCGTTTTTCGACTTCCGGACTACACGCTTTCATGCCGTACAAGGTGTGGGCGGACAGCAGCGCGAGATGGACAACATGAACGATGGACGACGCCTCGTCGTTTCCCGGTCCATGTTTTATGGAACAAAACGGAACTCGTACCTCTACCCCCCCAAGACAGTAGCTTCCTCCCTCCGCAAAGGGGCCATTCGTGGACACCTACTGTAGCGTGTTTCTGTAGGTAATGGGGCACCCGCCTGATGGAGCTGCCAACCGCGAGGAAAACAAGCGTGGGTGTGGTACAAACAACAAGACACAGGCTGACTGACCTCAACGCGATCATGACAAGAAGTAACAACTTAACTTCTCCCACCAAAAGCCCGGAAGCATGGAAAGCCTCTCGCCGAAGCAGCAGCCGGCGAGAGTTAGGAGAGGATTCAAAGGTGGCCCGATCCATGGGGGGGGGGGGGGGCGCACCCTACACTTCCCCGGTTCACATGCGACAACAGCCAAAAACGAGTCCGTACAACCGTAGAAAGAAAACACTGCGCAACACATCTAATTCTATTTTGCACACACACGCCCTATCTCCTCCGGACTCTTTTGCTCCGGAGTGGCGAGCACAGCGTTTCGATACGCCCAAGTCCACCAATCACAACCCTCCGTGCCCGACCAGCAACAGCAGGTGGCAGCATAAACACATCTTCTTACCCCAGCCGTGATTAGACCGCAAGAAAGTTCGTCCCAGTCGTGAGGCAAAAGAATAGCAGGGCTACGAACCCCAAAAACCATGTAACAAAAAAACAAAAAAACGAATCATGTCTGCTCTTTCAACCGCAACCGACACGAACAACGGCCGCTAAAACGGTCCAAAACAAGTGTGGCCCTCGCCGTAGAGACAACAACAGCGACACGTGCAGAACAACGGCTTGCCTCCGACAAGACATAAAAAAAAAAAAAAACAGAACGAATACGGTACTTGACCCAAACGTGTTTGTTTTCTTCGTGCGCGATGAAAAAAAAAAGGTCCTCTCCATGGCAAATCAAGCGCGCAGACGGTCGTACCACCGCGGCAAGCGGACGAACGGTGTGCAGCGTCATAAATCCCCCGCCCCAACCCGCCCGCTGTTTGGCCCAGCGGCCGATGGACACACACACCGTGGCAATGGATGGACTCCCTATCTAGATCGCAGCGATTTACAAGCATACCAAGCACGAGAACTACAACAACAACGCTCTCCGCAACGACAAATGAAATCGATGCTTTAGACACGTGCACCACTTCTGTCTCTGTCTGCGCCGATCATCTTCGCCCGCGTAGTTACGAATTCGCATCTGCGTTACTTCTGATGCTGCTGCTGTCGCTACTGGCGGTTCTAAAAGCACACCCAAGCCTCGGCCATGACAACTCACACAATCGGCGTGTCTCTCTTTCCCTATGCACATCAGTAGAAACACCAGAACGACAACTGATAAAACACACTTCCATTCCCTTCACCGACTTGCGAAACCACATATACTTCCCCAAGTAATACATACTTCTATGAAACCTTTTTCTTCTCTGAAATGGTGTTCTTGTCGCCTTTTTACTGCTACGATAACGGGGTGTAAAACAGTACACATTACGTTGCCAACGATCGAATCCAAGCACGTCATCACCAAGAGTACGGGATGTCCAGCAGGTTATGGTGTTCGTCAAGAGCCGCGTTGTAGTGCTCCTTCATGAAGCGCCCCATCCCCATCGCGCGCCTTCCCCCCCGAGTGAGCTGATCTCTCGACGCTCGGCCTAAGAACGCCCCCTCCTCCACCTCCGCCTCTCCCGGGGGGCCCGCAGCCGTGAACGCGGGAGGTCTCCCCCCGGCGGCAAACGCCTCGCGCTGCGCCTTGACGTAGCTCGAGTTTGCTCCGCAGATCGGCAGGGAGGAGAGCTGCACTCCGGCGAAGTTAGAGCTGTGCAGCTGGCCGATGCCATCATCGTCGCCTCGCCCGCCTTTTTTTATAAATTGTTTGGGGTGTGTTTGTGTAGGAAGAAGTGGCCGTAGAGCCAGGTGGCGAGGAGAAAGAACGAAACAAAGAGTGCACGTGACGGGTATGTACGGAGAACGGGAAAGAGGGGGAAGACAAAGACAAAATCAGGTTTGAGGCGGGCTCTGCCGTTTTAGCGGCGTGAGCAGTACTCCTATACTGCATCAACACTGTTCTTGGGAGAGATTTGCACACAGGCTTTGGCCTCTTGACTGTTGCAGCCCCGATCGGATCGAGGTACTTCTTCTTAACTCGTTGTTCAAAATTTTCACTTATTTTTATAGCCTGTGTCCACCAGCGGAAAGCAGCTCTTTGCCGATTGAACGACCCTAGACAAAGAAGAGACGCACCGGGTTCGAGAGGCAAGAACGGGCCTTTTTTCTCGTGAAGGAAGCGACGGAGGCATCAACGCCAACGACAACGACAAGGCACCGGATCGGGAGACAAAATCACCATCTTAACACGACTAAGGCGACCGAGACACCCGCCACCACCACCAACAACAACAAAAAACACCACTTGCTGTTGTACGCTAACACATACTTCACAAAACACACAAAATACACAAAGTGCACAAAACACCTTCTATTGAAGTATGACCACAACATCACTGCTGTGTGTGCCAACGGAACAAACAATCGGGACCAGGTGTTCTCCAAACCAGATGCCGCACCACCACCAAGAACGAGGGGAGTACTTAAGCTCAACTGACCTGATGCTGCTCGTGCCGGGTCGCTGCTCTCAGAAGAGGGGGTGCTCGTGGCATCGCGGTTGATTGCACCGGCCTCGCAGTGGATGATGTCTTGTTGTTTTGGCCGTCGTCAAAATCCGAAAGTGCGCACGCGGATGGGGTGGGACAAGTGATGACGGGGGTGGAAAGGGGTATGGTTTGGCGTAAACTAGCCGGTGCATTGTGTACTCAATACGGTGTCCGCCAACATACAGCACAACGAAGAATGTCACCAACAGCCATAGCAGACCAGAGCAACGTGTCCGATCCAAGCGAGCAAGAACAGTTCGACGCCGTGAATGCACCCAGCCAGAATGACGCGCGCAAAGCTAACACCATGAACAAGCACACTTTTTTACGCATGTGGTACAATCTTTTGGTGTGGTGCTTCAGCGTACGTATGCATAGACGGGTAAATTACTTGCAAAACAAAGAATCACATTCTGCCTGAACGGTGCGTGAGAGAGAAAACCCGATTCTTTCCCCGCACTGCATCCAGCCCCACCCCAGCTGTGCAGACTCCCCTCGAGGTCTCACCTGTGTGGTAGAACACTGCATCGCCCGGCGAGAGAGGCGGAAGTCGCACCAGAGCGTCCATGAGCGGCTGATGCCACCTGAATTTCACGCCGTGATAAAAAAAGGCGGGGGGGGAGATTGACGACCCCATGCATGTTACGCACAAAGGGCCATGTGCAGATCACCCATATCCTTGTGTTGATGAAACATTAACAATCGACCTGTTGAGTGAGACGAAAACCTTACCCTTTTGGGTCAAATCGAAACGTTGTTGTCATGCGGGCGGTGTCCCGAGCAAGCTACTTTTCATCGTGTACGCCCGCGATATGCTCTTCATTTGCAGTGAGGGAGGCTGCCGCCCTTTGACCTGTGTGACATTCCTAGGAGGATGCAGTTCAGTCTCTACCGAAAAAACTAGGCATCAACAGTCAATCCTATTCTTCGCAGTACGAGGGGCCCACGAACCAATATTTTCCTCTCTGCTGGGCCCCCCTTTCCCTCCTGCAGTTCTCGCCTCCGAAATATTTTGTTAAAAAACGTGTGCGGCACATGGCTAAACTCACTTTGGCGACAGCGAGAGCTCCGGCCCGTCCCCTGCCCCGCACAGCCAGTCCCCATCCGTGGCATTCGCTTCGAGTGCATCCGGCATGAACGGTCGCAGCAGCGTGAAGGCCGTGGCTACTCGCATCATGGGCACCACGTGAACCTAGCGTAGAAAGAACCGATCAGCGGGAGTATAGACGTGGTCGCGTGGTCACGAGACGGAGAAGAGGTGGCTGAGATACACGGCGGCGGGATGCTTGTAGGGGGTGCAACGACGACAGCAGCAGCAGCAGCAGCAGCAGCAGCAGCAGTGACAGGAGCAACGACAACCACAACGGCAGCAACAACAATCAAGAACAGCAGCAGCAGCAGCAGCAGCAGCAACAACACACAAAAAAAAAGCAACAGCAACAAACGGCAGCAACATCAACAACAGCATCGGCAGGGAAAAACAAACGATTCACCAGCACACGGACCCATTATCACTCACGTTTCCGACCTCGCCCCAACGACCGAAAGACAGGAAGCCGTGAAACGGTCGGAAAGGCTGCGGCGGCGCCCCGACACCGATCGATCCCGGGGGCGACGGGGTATCATCCTCTCCCCAAGAACACGCCGCGTTCTCCGCCGCCCTCATCCTCGGGCCGGCCTTGAACGGATCCCAGTCTTCCCAGCGGCCCTGGAAGATGTCGTCGTATGCCTGGAGAGGACATGCGATGTATGGAATTGGAAAAAATGCGGGATGGGATGAAGCGGAACGTGAGGCATGTGGTATGAGGCCAATGCGGTTGGAACGAATACGGGATGGGACGGGATGAAGCGAACGTGAGACACGTGGTATGAGGTCGATCGGCTGGAACGAATTCGGGATGGGACGGGAGGGAGCGGAACGGCATAGTGAGACACGTCGTACGTGCCAATGCGACCAGACGCGATGCCCGGTGGCATGGGTGCTACGCGGGGAGGTGCGGCAAACCGGGTCGTGTGGTAGGAGATACGGGTTGGGACGGAACGTGAACTCGCACCAGACGGTATTTTCCGGGTTGGCGCGGAACGATACGGTGCGGCACGAACACAGTTGTACGGAACGCGGTAACGGCCACACAGCAGTGAGAGAGTCAAAACACCCGCACGTACGCGAGCGCGAGTGCGCACACCCGTGCTATGAAAAAATTCAGCGCGGCCTGATCAGCGGAGCAGCAAGGAAACAGCCCCCTCCCGCAACGCGGAAGCCGTCATACCCATACCTGGTGGAGGTGGGGGTTCAGCCACCGCTGGGATCCGCCGGTGCCCCCGGCCATGACCACCGACTCTCGGCCTTTGAGGCTCGAGCACGTGGGGTTCCCCACGAAGGCGCGATCGCAGAAGCTGCCGCAGATAACAGCGAAGGGTAGCCACCCATGAGCAAAAAAATAAAAGTTGCGGTTCGGAGGCTATTTGTTCGTGCAGGACAGCTGTGAGAAAGTGCTTTGACGAACGCTTCAAGACAACGGGGGCCTCGCCGAGCGAGCCTAGGTACGTATCACCAAAAAAACAGGCACAAACTAACGATGGTGTCTTCTCATGTCTAAACGAAAACAGCGGACAGGCAGCGCGGTGCGCTTGGCCCTCTCCTCTTACCGGATGGCACACGCCAAATCGGAGAAGAGGAAGGCCAGCATGTGGTGCAAGCAACAGCACCCATTGAACGTCAACAGAAGCAGGAGCAGTAGCAGTAGCAGTAGCAACCGACTACCAACAAACCTGGGTTTTCGGCAAGATTTAACACCCAACAGCAACAATGACAGCAGCAGCAGCAGCAGCAGCAACAACAGTAGCGGCAACAACATGGAACAAACCTGAGGCTCTTGGTGAGGTCGGCTGGCGAGTGCGCGTCCGGCCTCCAGAGCCTGTTGAGGGCAGCCAGGACCTGCCGAATGCCGTCATGTTCCCTCGCCTGCGCCTGTGCCTGGGACCAGAACACGTCCTTCGCCTGATGCCGCGCACACAGCAGTGTGATAGCAGCAAAGGAGACAAGCATGCCGAGGGTGGTGATGAGACACACAACACGCCCCGCTGATTCTGGCTGGAGGAGGAACACGTTTAAGATGTCCACGTGCAACGGTTTCACGCTGGTCGTCGGGCAACGTCATGTTTTCCATGCGTTCCGAGTGCCCCTGCCTGCGGCAGAGATCTCCCCGGTCTGTACGTGGCAACAATAAGTTTTCAATGCTTGACGTAACGATCGATAAAATATTGTTTAACCTTGGGCATGGCCTGATGGGATCACCTCTATCGACGAGCTACGCATAGCAGCGGCCCGTTTCTGCAAAAAGGCGTTCGCGCTGTAGACAACACCGGAGCGAAAGAGAGAGAGGACGATGTCGCCGAAAAACTACCGATGACCTCACACACGGTCTTGGTACAAACGAAAAAATCAGCTGAGACAAATAAATCATCGACAAATGCGGCTGCTGATAAACGGTGCGTAGATGTACGACGACTTGCTCGTCAAACACAAATCATCTACTATTATAGTGTGTGTCTCACCCCTGGAGGACCCCCAGCGAGCCCGTTAGTCTCGAGGTACTCCTGTAAAAAAAACAAAGAAAAGCAACCGCGTCGGTGCATCGGAGAAGCGCACGCGCGAGGCGCGAAAAGGGTCAACAAAGGCAGCGAGTGCATGGTGTCACAACCGTGGTACATAATCGGTGCATTACATGGCCGTATTCATCCGCCGTGTAGGTCGTCAGCCGCCCCGTGTTCTTCAATCGATGCATGCACCCTTGTCCGTATGCTTAGTGTTGCAGACTCTTGGCAGCCCTTTGGCAGCCATGCTTCCGCAAGAGCGAGACTCCTGACCAGCCGTGCGAAGTCAGTTCCCTAGGCTGCAAGCTGCAGACCATCTGGTGCCCGGTCTCATCTACATCTAGGCTAATCACGGCGGACAGGGAAACACGAGAACGGGCCTAAGCAACGCTCAACGCATTCACGGAACGTCAGCATCACTTTTATTTCTCTTTCCAGTGTGTGCACATGTCTTCCGCATAGAAACGCAAAAAATAAATAAATCAAACCCAGGGACTGAGAATCCACATTTGGTGTCTTTATGCAACAAGAAAAAAAATACACTTCCCCAAATACCAAACGGTATATTGTTACGCACACAAGGCCTTCTCTCTCTCTCTCTCACCAGCAAGGAATCTCGCCACCGCAACGCCGTGTCGGCGGGAACGACGCCTCGTACCACCACAACGCCTCTCCGATTGATTTGACGCGTCGCGAAAAACGGAAACCGTCCGTCCTCTGGGGGCCGACCAAAAACAAAAGGTGACAGAACATGAAACAGAAGCGCGGGGGAATGTGACTGTGTGCGTTTGCGTATGAACGTCTGTGTGGACCCTCAATTGACGTCGACCACGTTATCATATTGAGCGATCTGGAGTGTTGAACGAAGTGGATGGGGGAGGGGGGGTGGATTGAGCCAGCATCGATCGTGTACAGCATTAGACCAACACAAGTCGAAATTTAGTCTCGAAGAGGCGAACGAATGAGAACGACCGCGAGGGTCTTGTGCGTGTGTATGTGTGTTTCTTCAATTAGCATCGAGTGCGCTAACCGGCTGAACAATGAAATCACATCCATTTTACACAGCTGGAAAGCAAACGCGAACATGTGTGCGTGTGTGTGCCAACCGTGACCACAACACAAGACCCGACAGAGTGGGGGGGCACTACTGTGGGGGGCGATAGCCGTGGGGGGAGCAGCGCTCATGACTGGACGTATTCGTGCGCGAAAAAATCAAAATTGTTGCCCATACGCGAGTTCTCTAGGTGTACTCGTATCTATCTCCGCAAGACGGAAGGCAGCGAAGCGCGTCCGAATAAGCACCCCGACTTCGAAACATCCGCCACAGCGATGTCTACACTTGTCATTCATGACATGGCAGAGCGTAGCCATCCAACTTGAGTGACTGGTGCGCGGGTTCGGGGACGGGCGCTCCGTGTGTTCACATCCAGGAGGGGGGGAGGCTAAGAACAACAAACTCCCGGTGGAAAATGACGGAACTTGAATACCTAGCCCTGGTAGAGAGCGGCTGCTGCTGCTGCTGCTATTGATCTCTCCATACCTATCTGGCTGACGCGGATTTCTGGTATGGCGAAGTCCGGGCTGTTTCGAAACAGCGAGGTGCTCCTCTCCAAGACCTGCTTAATATTGTTATTTCAACGCACGCGGTGGGGTTCCACACACGCGGTACCCCGTGGGAGGGGTAAGTGTGGGGCATATTGTAGTGGCTTCTTGCTCGGGCCATTTCGGCTGCAGAACATGCATCCCTTTCGCCACGGGGGAAAAAGGGTGAGACAGACGGGGCAGGCCGGAACGATGGTCTTTGAAGCTATAATAGCTACTCTCACACAAGACGCGGTGTGAAGAGAACTCGGTTTCCCGGTGTACGGCATTTTACCCCGCCATTCTGGAGTCCAGATGTTCGCACCAAACGGACAATCGCCACCCCCGAGGTGGTTTCGACTTCGATACACGAATGTACACAGAGCAGCCAACAGGAGTGCATTCGTTCATGCCGGCCATGTACAAGATCGAGTGTACTTCCATGTAAACGTGCAGACAACGCGTGACCGTGGCAACTATTTAATGCCTTTCGTCACTACCACCGTTGCATCCACGTCGCCCCTGCCCCGCCATACGCAAAATCCTACTATACAATTAACGCCTTGGCCATACATACAGCAGTCGACGACGGTGTTCGCCGACAAGGTCACCGCCATGGGGATGCAATGGCCGCAACAAGAGGGTGGAGTTTATCACCTCAGACAGTCTCAACATGGATTCCTGCGGGTTTGTGACCCTGAGAGCGCGGGCAAGTTCCTCCATTTCCGGCGCCCCCGAGCCATGGTCCGGCCACAGCAGCTCTCGCGCTTCAGCCCTGACAGCGCCGAACGGTGATCGATCAACACCGAGGGAGCAGCAGCAGCCGCAGCAAGGCATCCGCACCATCAACCCGCAAGCAGCACATCAACGCCTTCACATCGAAAATCACAGCCATGCCTTCACAGCAGCAGGCCAACCCGGGGTGAACAATAGACTAGAGACTAGAGACCTACAGCAGTAAGCCACTACGGATGTTGGTCGGAGCTGTAGAACAGTAGCGACATAAGGTCATGGAAGTGTAAGCCTATGGCATATACCATGCGATGGCATTGCTGCTGAATAGCTTGCGTGCCTGTCCGTGCGCCGCGCCGACTCATTTGTGAGAGGTCATGCCGCATAAGAAGCTAAATCTGGGCGGCTTCAGGCGGAGTGATTCGGCTGTGTTCTGACCGAACGCCGGTGACAGATGGTGTGGTTCAGTAGAACGTGTCTGGAGGTGCTGCACTTGGCTACAAGGTACGAGCGGGTACACGCCTCCTCATTCGTGTTGTAGAGTTGATTGGGAGCACTACCACTGGTGCAATTGTCGTGGGGAGTGCCTGCCTGAACGCTGGCTAATAGCGGTACGCCTACGTCAATTTGTCCGGCGCTGCTGTTCATGTACGTACGAGAACACAGTACAAGTAGAGCCACCTGCTGTGCATGTTGAACTCTCTTTCGTGTGCTCTGGCTCTCTTGTAACAGAACAAAGCAGTGTGTGCTTCGCCAGAGAGTAAGATGCTTCAACCGGTAGCTGCGATCGTGTTGCATGCCGCACATAGTAGGCGAGACTCGGTGCCTTCACCAAAGCGCGGCGTTGTTGTTCTGTGTGTTGCTGGTCGTCTCGCCATTTGTGGAGCGGGGCCTGTCAAGGCAGCAGCTGCGGCTGCGAGGGAGACAGGGTTCGGCACCACATTCGGCCAACAAACCTTGGCGCCATGTATCGGCCAAAACAATGCAGACACACTGCAGTCGGTTATTTTCCCCAGCCACCGCCGCCGCTGCCCCCGCCGTCGGCGTGTGCTGCACAACCGGGGAGGGGGTGCACAAAAGCACCAGGGTTATCGCGAGTGTGTCTCATGCGTGACAGAAGTAGTCTGTGTACATCACACCAAATACCTGGAAGCCAGTGATCTCTTCTTCGACCGAACAACGAAATTAGCTGGTACGACCAGTCCACGACCCCTGTACGCCATTATGCAGCAGCGCCAGTTCTTTGTCACCACGGGCACGCGGCGGGAGAGACAGCAGAGATCAAGCAAGTTGCGCCCGGCTCAGCAGTTCTGTTCCCGGCGACCATCTCAATCTGGGGGGCTCCGGCCACATCACTTTCGGATCACACCCCAGGGGGTCTCCGCAGAGCGCAGGGCATACCTCACGCCCACAGGTCCGCACAGGCAAGGCAGACACACGAGTCACCATTCCCTGTCAGCAGCAGTGGCTATGACCATCAACCGCCGGAGCGAGGAGAGAGACAGGGTTCTCTCGCCGAAGATCGCGGCAGTTGCAGCAGTGGGGGTGGTGGTGGCGACATCGTTGGCACTTCTAGTCCAGCCTGGCCAGGCCTTTCACACAAACATGTTGGCCAGCGGTGCTCTGCGCCGTGCATCTATTGCAGCCGTCCGCCGAGCACCAGCAGCAGCAGCAGCGCTGCCACGACGCCTCGCAACCAATCGCTGCGGCCCTGGGCTCTCCATGGCCTGGGAAGATGATGATCGTGTGCGACGGCGAGGCAGGCAGGTTGACCGCGGGTTTAGCAGCGGCGGCGTGGTTGACAAGAGCTTCAACAACGGCGACAGCACCGACAGCTATGGCGGTGAGGGCGGTAGCGGCGGTAGATTAGGGGGAGGGTGGGCAGATTCTGACGGCGGTGGCGGCGGCCGCAGCAGTCGGCAACAAAATTCTTCGGACGGGCGAGGAAGAGGAGGAGGTGGCAACTACAGAAGTGGGGGAGGTAGCCGCGGAGGCAACGGGCGATACGAGCAACGAGGCCGCGGGCGGGGACGAGGTTGGGACCAGGCAGCCGACAGCAGTAGCAGAGGGGACGGTGCAAGGGGTGGGCGTGGCGGCTACGATCGGGATTTCGGTGGGCGGGAGAGCGGGGGCCGTAGTAGCTCCAGCTGGGACGACAACAGAAGTAGAGGCCGGGGGCGGGGGGGGCAGGGACGCGGTCGCGGCCGCTCCTCGCACGGCGGTAGGGAAGGCGGCGGCCGCTCTTACGGTGGGAGAGAGAGCTCATTCCGGGGGCGGCAAAACGATGCAGGTGGTAGGGATCGCGCGGACGACAGGCCGTCTCGAGCGTGGACTCCTTCCTCAGGAGGCGGCGGAGGTGATGAGATGGAGTGGGGGGGGGGTGGG